GACGCTCATGCCTTGCATGCGCAAGCGAGCACACGACGCTCATGCCTTGCATGCGCAAGCGAGCACACGACGCTCATGCCTTGCATGCGCAAGGGAGCACATGACGCTCATGCCTTGCATGTGCAAGCAAGCACACGACGCTCATGCCATGCACGATTCCACAATTCTCTTTTACCACGGCGCTTTCCCTATAGGCCCCCTCTTCCCTCTGCACGCTGGCCCGCTCCTTTTTTCCCACGAGCTGCGACCTCCCTCCGTCTGCGCCCGTCCCACAGATTATTGTGGGTACGAATTGACGTACGCCCTTTTTCCCACAAGCGCTGCCAGGTCGCGCACTGTTTCGTATCGGCGCACGCCACGGCTGTCCCCGCCCGCCCCGCTCCTTTTTCCCACGACGCACAACCTCGCTCCGTCTGCGCCCGTCCCACAGATTATCGTGGGTGCGAATCAACACGACGCCCTTTTTTCCCACAGGCCCTGCCAGGCGCTGGGCCGTTTCGTCTCAGCGCACGCCATGGCTGGCCCCGCACGTCCCGCGGTTTTCCGTGGGCCCACGGCTGCGTGTGACGGCGGGACGGCTATAACTAGTTGTATAGAGAAGAAAAGAAGACAGCAGCACAGGTCTTGTGGTTATGACTCTGCATGGATGGTGTTCATCATTTCCATTAGGAAATATCATTCACCAGCTTGTCTACACCTCTCCGCTCTCTCCACGCGAAGTTGGTGCAAGTGGAAACCAATGTGTTGGTTTTGGTGCAAAGTGGAAACCAACGTTTTCCCATGGAGGGGAAGCACAGATGTGTGAGGTGCTGCTTGTATCAGAGACTTGTGCATGCATTCTGTTTGCTACGACGGTTCTTCCGCCCTTGGAACTCATTTCCCTCGCTACCTTGAAAGCATTCATAGATAACTTTCATCATCTTTCCTTTTTTTTTTTCCTACAAGCGTCTGCGTGCATTCTGCTTGCTATGACAGTTCGCCCGGGCCCCTGGAACTCGTTTCCCTTGCTACTATTGACAGCATTCATATAAAATTTTCATCCTGTTTCCTTCTTTTTAACTTCTTCTCACCCTTTTTCCTAATAGCATGTGCATTGTGCATGCATTCTATTTGCTATGACAGTTTGGATTTTGTTTCCCTCGCTACTGTTGAAAGCATTCATAGAAATTTATGAAACACCACGAAGTTTTAAGACACACAAAATGTCGTAGTCACAGCTAGCAAACGTTCAAAGACCCAGCAGGTGATGCTTCCCACCAATAGATGGAGTCTCTCCCCAGGTGCTAGTGGTGTCTGCTCTTATCAGCACCACTAACACTGGTGGGGGTGTGTTTAAAAAAAAAAAAAAAAAAAAAAAAAAACATTGTTGGATGAAGTCGCCCGTAACTCAGACAGGTGGAGCACGAAACAACACACATGAAGCACATTCTTGAAGACAAGCCACCGTTCCTTCCCCCACTTCACGGCACTCCTCATACCGTCTGCTCTGTCCAAATAGCTGTGTTGACTTGTGCTGCCTAGATTGTTGTACTGGTTGAAATACTTGTGTCCCTCCGACTCTGTAGTCCTTTTACTGCCACCCTTCTCCTCCCCGTTCACCGAAAACAGCCAATGCGTTGCCTATGGGTTTTTCACCATCAGGTCAGGTGGTTGGGTGGACTCAGGTTGCCCTTTCTAGTGCGTTTTTGGTTATTAGTAACTTATTACCACCGGCATTATGACTTCTTTGAAGTTCTGCTTTAGTGGACGTAGGTGCCGGTACTGGATGGAGGGAGGAGCTGTGGATTTAGCTATTTTTAGTCTTCATTTATTCGGCGTTTCACTGTTTCCTCAAGATTAGGTGCTATCAATTTTCATTACGACTATTTTAACATGCGTGACTCAGGAATGACCATGCATATGCGTATTTCGTCGATATCGGATGCCGACCGAAAGCAGGCACGACATGCAGCAAGACATGTTGGACACAATGATAACAACTGTAATCAAAATACAAACTCCTAGACTCTTAGTCTCCTTTCAAAAACCCCTGTTCTCGCAGGCCACAAAGTAGGAACAACATCGGGAGCGCATTCTGCTTTAGTGGACGTAGGTGCCGGTACTGGATGGAGGGAGGAGCTGTGGATTTAGCTATTTTTAGTCTTCATTTATTGGGTGTTTCACTGTTTAAACAATATTAGGTGCTATCAATTTCATTACGACTATTTTTAAACTACCAGTACTTGGCTCAGCTATCAAGTCGGAGCCTCCAGCGACCGGTATGTCGAGCCTGCCAAGCCTGACAGTACCAGTAGCTGGACGGGCCGAGGCTGGGGCCCGGGGGGACCAGTTGGAAAACAAAACAGCAAAAAAAAAAAAAAAAAAAAAGAAAACGCTGTGGATGTGAATGCAGTTGGATGCATTCTCCTGAGTGTTAATGTGAGCACGTCGCAGTTTGGGTGTATCGGCCCCGTGGCGTTTCTGTCAGAATCCGAAAGTAAAATGAGGAAAAAGAAAACAAAGAAATGAATCTCAAATAAGAAAAAAAAAATGAAATATGAGTTTGGCCCTGAAATTAGTTAGATACATTTGTCTGTGTGCAAGTGTGAGTATGCCCTCAACGAGGGCCGT